TTTCAGATATGCTTGAAACTGCAATATTTCGAAATTTAAGGACGCTAATTTACTTAAAATGTGTACACCCCGGCTTATCATGTAGCGGTAGCTTTCGGAAAGGTGGAAAACATATATTTAATACTTGCGCCGGGTATTTAATGTTCGGCTCCGCCCGAACTTAGACTTTCTTACTTGTTTATTTTAAAATCAAAAAATATTTAGAGGTCGCTCAAAGCGGGTATAGAATTCTTAAAAATCAATATTTTTCTATCGGAAAACTCTATATCTGTGCAACAGATTCCCAATAAAAATACTCAATTGTTTATTTAATAATTTTTTCATCGCAACTATAATTTATAGGTCCACCAAAACCCACAAAATCCCCGAAAAATTCAAAGGAGGGAACAATAAAAAAATCGTTAGTTTTAAGAAATGGTTAAATAAACAATTGGGTATTATTAATGAAAGTCTCCTGAAGACAACCAGATGTTTCCGATCGAAAAATGTTGATTTTCAAGAATTCTATACCATTTCTACGAAAAGTGATTTTTTCCCCATATAAAAATACATGGAAAATTTTGAGCGCTTTGAGCGACCTCCAAATATTTTTTGATTTCAAAATAAAAAAATAGGGGTATACTTTTTTCGATATAGAACAATCCTAGGGGGTGAGAGCATTACGATTCGGAATTTACTGTTTTTGGACCACCCTAATGTTTATACATATCAGACTTAAGTGTGATTAAATAAGCAGAAACTCTCGTCTATTCTTGAGGATGCCATTTATCCACAGCTATTGAGTGTAAACTACTCTATTTTTATGGTACTACGGCCTTTACATCACAAAACATAGACAAAAAGCTACCTTGAGCAGTCCGGAAGTAGTTACCCGGTTGCTTCAAGAACTATACGTTTTCAAAATCCTAACTTATACCTGATATTATGCATGTTGAGCTACGACATTCCTCTGTCAGTAAATTCGTTTGACATCTCAAGGGCAAGTGAGGTGATAATCTACT